AGCGGCTGCCTCACTCACAGAGCGACTACCACTACGGCCACCCCGACTGCTCAAACCTGCGTACCACTCACGAGCCTGCTGGAGCAGAAGAGGGCACGGCTGCTGCACCTGTCCACTACCTGAGGCTCCCGAACGACGGACGCCAGAGCGACTACCACTACGGCCACCCCGACTGCTCAAACCGGCGTACCACTCACGAGCCTGCTGGACCAGAAGAGGGCACGGCTGCTGCACCTGTCCACTACCAGGGGCTCCCGAACGACGCACGCCAGAGCGACTACCACGCCGGCCACCCCGACTGCCCAAACCGGCGTACCACTCACGAGCCTGCTGGAGCAGAAGAGGGCACGTCTGCTGCACCGGTCTACTACCAGAGGCTCCCGAACGACGCACTCCAGAGCGACTACCACTACGGCCACCCCGACTGCCCAAGCCGGCGTACCACTCACGAGCCTGCTGGAGCTGCATCTGGCCACGTCAGGAGCAGCAGCAGTAGCGGCAGCAATAGCAAGAGCAGTAAAGGCAGTAGCAGCAGCAGTAACGGTAGCAGTGCTAGCACGGCAAAGCTCACCAGTGGTTGGTGCGGCGGGCGCAAGACAGTGGCGACAGCGTGGCCGCTGCAACAGCGGGGCGGGGCCAGGTCGTAGCAGGGAGCTCCGCGGCAGCTGCTGCAGGTCGAGCGGCGGCTGCTGCTGCAGGCTCGGCGGCGGCAGCTGCTGCAGGCTCGGCGGCGGCTGCTGCTGCAGGGTCGGTGGCGGCTGCTGCTGCAGGCTCGGCTGCTGCAGCTGCTGCAGGTCGAGCGGCGGCTGCTGCTGCAAGCTCGGCGGCGGCAGCTGCTGCAGGTCGAGCGGCGGCTGCTGCTGCAGGCTCGGCGGCGGCAGCTGCTGCAGGTCGAGCGGCGGCTGCTGCTGCAGGGTCGGCGGCGGCCGCTGCTGTAGGCTCGGCGGCGGCTGCTGCTGCAGGGTCGGTGGCGGCTGCTGCTGCAGGCTCGGCTGCTGCAGGTCGAGCGGCGGCTGCTGCTGCAAGCTCGGCGGCGGCAGCTGCTGCAGGTCGAGCGGCGGCTGCTGCTGCAGGCTCGGCGGCGGCAGCTGCTGCAGGTCGAGCGGCGGCTGCTGCTGCAGGGTCGGCGGCGGCCGCTGCTGTAGGCTCGGCGGCGGCTGCTGCTGCAGGGTCGGCGGCGGCTGCTGCTGCAGGCTCGGCTGCTGCAGCTGCTGCAGGTCGAGCGGCGGCTGCTGCTGCAAGCTCGGCGGCGGCAGCTGCTGCAGACGAAGTCGAAGCCGCGAAGGGGCGGCTGAGGGATCGCGCTCGTGCGGCTAGCGGGTCACGCGCGCGAAGAATCGGCCGCGCGCGGGCGGCTAGCGAGGCGCGCGCGCGAAAAATCGGCCGCGCACGGGCGGCTAGCGAGTCGCGCGCGTTAAAAACGAGCCGCGCGCGGGTGGCTAGCGGGCTGCGTGCGCGCGGTAGGTAGAGGCGCACGAGGGCGCTAAGGCGCACGAGGGCGCGCGGTAGGTAGAGGCGCACGAGGGCGCTAAGGCGCACGAGGGCGCGCGGTAGGTAGGGGCGCACGAGGGCGCGAAGGCGCACGAGGGCGCTCGGTAGTGAGAGGCGCACGAGGGCGCACGAGGGCGCACGAGGGCGCACGATAGGTAGGTAGGTAGGTAGGTAGCGGTGGGCCCTAGGAGCGGTCCTAGCAAAGGACCTGCTCTGATACCATGTCAGAATGAACAGGCAGGAATGGGGAACTAGGAGCATGCAGGAGTACAAGTAATAAACCCTAATTTGGGTTGTACCCCATATGGGCTACCCCACTACAGCCTAGACAGTATGCAGCACATATGTTTGACATAGCAGACGCGTGACAGTAGGGTGCTCAGCATGAAACCGGTCAGACTCAGGGTCCGGAACGTCAGGCAAAGAAGACGCAGGAGGAGACGGCAGAGGAACATGCTGTGGAACAGAGGAAGGACGAAGTGCCATAATGTGCGTGCCAGGGACAGGAGGAGGACGCTCACGACTAACACGACCAGTGCGACCAGTGCGAGCAGGCAAGGCAGGACGGGACGCAGGCTCGCGACGCTCAGTAAGACCTCCTGCCTGCTCAGTGTAAGGAGAGGGAGCAGGCAGGGGGGAGCCTGGCTGTAACGGTAGGCCAGTGGAAGACGGCAGGCTAAGAACCTGGCGAAGCACTGTGTCAGGAGGCGGCAGAGACGACGGTGACGGCGGAGAGAAGAACAGTCGCTGCGCAGCAGTGCCACCAGCACCAGTAGCTCTGGTGCCTCCAGCAGCTCCAGAACCTCCAGCAGCTCCAGAACCTCCAGCAGCTCCAGAACCTCCAGCAGCTCCAGACCCTCTAGCTCCTGCTCCTCAAGCGCCAGCACCACCAGCAATCGCAGAACCTCCAGCGCCAGCACCGCCAGTACCAGCGTCACCAGCAGCAGCACCCCCAGAACCGGCACCTCCAGTCCCAGGGTCTCCAGCAGTAGCACCCCCAGACGCAGCACCTCCAGCCCCAGCAGCTCTAGTACCTCCAGTACGAGCACCTCCGGGTCTAGCGGCTCCAGCACCTACCTCCGGCACCTCTCGCACCAGCCCCAGTACCCTCTGAACTGGCAACCCCAGCTCCAGGGATGGCAGCAGAAGCGCCTCCAGTGGCAGAGCCCCGAGCTCCAGCAGCGCGACCCTGACGGCGAGCGTACCACTCGTGCAGCTGCTGTGGGGAGAGAGGCGCACGCGGACGAAGGCGGCCACTCCAAGGAGACCGCGCACAAGCAGGCTCCGTACCCTCAAGCGCCGCACCCCCAGACTCAGCACCCCCAAGCACCTCACGCTCAGGATCAGCACCCCCAGACGCAACACCCCCAGGCGCAGTACCTCCAGTCTCCTCACGCTCAGGCTCAGCACCTCCAGGCTCAGCACCCCTAGGCTCCGCACGCTCAGGCTCAGCACCCCTAGACTCAGCACCCTCAGGCTCAGCACCCCCAGGCTCCGCATGCTCAGGCTCAGCACCCCCAGAGACAGCACCCCGAGCAGGACCACCCCCAGCAGGACCTGAGTCACCAGTGACCTCAACAGGCTCAGGCACAGGAGGGTCTACCTAAGAAACACCTGAAGGAGCAGGACCTGGCGCGGGGAGGGGGTCTACCTGGGGAGGACCTGGAGCGAGAAAGAGCGGAGGGGGGGGGCGAGCGGCAGTGCGGTAGGGAAAGAGACGGTAAAAGGGGACCGACTCGTCGAAGGTGACGTCCTGAGACGCAAAGACACGGCGCGAGGGGAGGTCATAAAACTACCAGCCAGACGCGTCAGGAGGAAAACCAAGGAAGACGCAGGGAATGGCGCGAGCGGAGAGCTTGTCCGCGGTGGTATCGTGGACAAAGGCACGAGCACCCCAGACCCGGAAGCGCGACGCATCGCCAACCTCCCCCGTGAGCGATGCGCAGAGACACAGGGAGTGAGCGAGACACGGGCAGAGGAGACACGGAGACACGGGGCTAGAGGTTGAGCTGATGCGCGGCGTACCGGACCGCAAACGGCCACAGAAAATGGGGGGCAGCCGCATGAATCATGGAGGTACGAGCGACCTCCATGACTAAGCCAATGCGGCGCTCAGCAACCCCATTCTGCTGCGAAGAGGCTAGAAGCGTGAACGAGTGGCGGATGCCGTGCTCCTCATAGAAAGCTCGCAAGAGGTCGGAGGTGAACTCACCACCTCTATCAGAGTGCAGACGCAGGACAGGAAAGTCCGACTGAAACCGCTCGCGGAGCTGGAGACGAACAACGCGGATCCAGGGGATCAGAACATCAGGGACCTGACCCTTGCTGCGCAAGGGGAAGACCGTGGTGTAACGCGTGTAGTCGTCAACGACCAGCAGGAAGTACCGCTCGCGGCCCTGCCCCTGGACGCGGGCTGGGCCCCACACGTCCAGGTGAAGAGTCTGCAGTGGAGCCTCTGTGGGAGGGAACGAGGAGGAGTGAGGAGCGGCGCGCTGCCGCCCTTCGACGCAAGGAATGCAGGGCGGCGCAGGCGAGGGAGGGAGGGTAGGCAGAGACCTGGGAAGACCAGAGACCAGGGAGCGAGAGTGCATGCCACGAAGGCGGGGTAGAGAGGGGTGACCAAGGCGGTGGTGCCACAGGAGAGTGTTGTGCGACAGGCGGCGACACTCACACTGGGTAGCTACCTGAGAAGGCGCGTACAGCAGGGGAGACAAAGGGGTGTAGCGCGACACGGTGGTGAGGGTGTACAGACTGGACCCAGGCTCACGAGTGAACGTGGCCAGGTGGCGGCCAGTCTTGGAGCACGTGAGGATCGCCACACGCTGTCCTCCAGGAGTCCAGGTGTCAACCCAGTGATCCTGAAGGACGGCGTTGCTCACCAGGTTCGTAGAGAACGAGGGGAGGTGGAGACCCGACAGCTCACCAGATGGGACCGCCGGGCACGGAAGCACAGTCGTGGCTCGTGCAAGCACTGGGCCCCCAGAGGGGTCAGCCAGTGAGACAGGGACAGGTGCAGGTGCAGGGAGGGGAGTGACTGTGGTGCTGTCGCGAAAGAAACAGCGGGAAGCACCTGAGTCAAGCGTGAAGGTGTGCAAAGCCTCAGCAGGCGCAGTACCAGAGAGAGCAGACTCACTAGCACCTAGGGCTGCAGTCTCTATACCTGGGTCAGGTGGGACACACAAGTAGCAGTCACCCTCAGCACTAACAGTCAATGCATACATGGCAGTAAGAATAGCATCATAGTCAAGATCAAAGATAGGAACACCACGCCTAAGCAGGTCTGCCCAGTTGGGGAACTCAGTAGCAACAAGAAACTTGGCGCGCCAGGCGTCGCTAAGCCGAGCGAAGCAGCGGTACTCAGTGTGAAAGCCGTTGCATGGGCGACCAGCGCGGGGACCTGCGCGAATGATATAGGGGCAGCGACCAGGACCCCCAGACGCCCCACGCCCGACATCCCAGTCATGAAGCTGCTGAGAAGTGAGGGTCTGGCGCTGACTCTGCTGCTGCTGCTACTGCGGCTGCTGCTGCTGCTGCTGCCCCTGGCCACCACTGGAGCCCCCGGTCTGGCCGGTTCCACCCCAGCCCCCACCACCGCCGCCACCACCACTTCCCCCTCCCCCACTACCACCGCTGCCACCGCCACTGCTCCCGGTACCACCGCCGCCCCCACCACCTCCACCCCCACGACCACCCCCACCACCTCCACCTCCCCCGCCGCCTCCACCACCGTCCCCGCCACCGCCATGTCCACCACACTTGCCGCCCCTGCCTCCCCTAGTGCTGCTGCGCTTCCCACTAGGAGCGGAAGCAGCTGCGACCTTCTCAGCACCAAGGAAGTCGACAGCAGCAGCAGCAGAGGCGTAGGAGGGGGCAAGAGGGGAGGGGGAGCACCCCTCAAAGAGGGGAGTGCGGGGAGTGCCACGAGCAGCACCGACAGCGATAATGTTCTTTTCGGCTGCTAGGAGGTGCTTCTCGAAGTCGGCGACAGTGAGAGTGGTAGGGTCTAGGGCGAGAAAGTGGTCCCTGACTGAGCGAAGAGTGTCAGGGAGGCGGGTGACGAGGAAGTAGAGAGTAAAGTACATCGGGGGGGGATTCTCGACGAGAAAGGCCTCTAGAAGGGCGGCACGAAAGCGAGCGTCACTAGCGCGAAGGTAAGAAATGAGGTCCTTAGCGGTGGTAAACGAGGACAGGTTGGGGAACAGGTAGGGTAGGATGAGACGACCTAGGGCTGCAGTGGCCGGGGAGGAGTAGCGCGCAACTACAGCGTCATACAGTGCCTTAGCAGTCTTGTGCTGGCTAAATTGTGCGCGCTCAATGATCGGCAGATGGTTGCGAATAGCGTAGCGTGCAGCAGCATTGCGAGTCTGCCACTGTGAGCGGTCGAGAGCGGGAGCAGTGTCAGCAGGAGCAACGGCAGTGCCAGACGCGTGATCGAACAGTGAAACGCCGTCTTTGGCATCAGTCATAAGAAACAGTTGCAGGTCGTCGAGCCAAGTGGCAAACTCTATCGGGCGACCGTCAGGCTCAAACGCGAGAACATTAAGCGTCGCCATAATCACAGTGCAGGCAAAGGCAGCAGGCAAAGGCAGTAGGCGAAGGCAGCAGACAGAGGCAGTAGGCACAGGCAGCTGGCAAAGGCAGCAAGCACAGGCAGCAGGCAAAGGCAGCAGGCACAGGCAGCAGGCAAGGGCGGCGCGCAAAGCAGCCGCAAGCTGCGCGTGGGCTGTCTGGGCAATGCGCTAGCAGCGCAGGCAGCGCGCGGAGCAGCAGCGGACCGCGTGCAGGCTGCGGAGGCGAGGCGCGGGTCGGTAGGGCGGCGCGCGGGGCTGCAGCGGGCCGCGCGCGGGCTGCCACGGCGCGGCGCAGGCTGCGTAGGCGGCGCGCGGGGCTGCAGCGGGCCGCGCGCGGGCTGCCGTGGCTCGGCGCGGGCTGCGCAAGCGGCGCGCGGGGCTGCAGCGGGCCGCGCGCGAGCTGCTGAGGCGCGGCGCAAGCAGCTAGGGCGGCGCGCGGGGCAGCAGCGAGCCGCGCGCGGGCTGCCGAGGCGCGACGCGAGCAGCAAGGGCGACGCGCGGGGCAATTGCGGGCAACGCGCGGGAATCAGGTCTGCGCGCGCGAAGCAGCAGCAGACAGCTCAGACAGCAGACAGCAGGCAGCAGGCAGACGGCGCGCGCAGCGCAGCACGTCACAGGCACAGTCACAGTCACAGTCGTGGGGTAGCGGTAGGTGGGCCCGAAAAAAAAGACGGTCCTACGGACCTACTGCTCTGAAACCATGTCAGAAGTCTAGGCAGGAATGAATGAACTATCAGGAAGGTGGGTACAAATAGAAACCCTAACATTGGGCTGTACCCCATATGGGCTACCCCACTACAGCCTACAGACTATACTACAGCATACATATATATATAGTTTGACATGATGCTCACACGCCACGCCAAGCAACAGTTTCTGCCTGCTGCCAGCTCAGCTGCGTGGCACTTGGCCCACCTGATACGAAACGGATGAACGATTGCATCGCTTGAAACGCAAATCCAAAATCAACAAAATCGGCACACAGGCGAGAAAATGGGTACAGAACGGTAATCACACTCACGGCAAAACGAAATGAGATCAGCAGAAACAACCATGCGCTGCACGTGACAAAAACACCGGAACGCCGCCGACATGAGCAGAGGCAATGCACGAGCACGTTGCCTGATGCGTTGGTAGGCTGTAATCAGCTTCAATGCTATTATAACTATGCTTTTACGAAACTGCATGAACATCTTAAAATTTGAAGTAACTCTGACAGTTCAGACAAAAAAAGTTGTGCTTGTCTGAATTTGTAGACTAAAATTTTGAGGCACCTCTGACATACAGAGTTCCAGGAGGGGTGTACTCTGATCGATCAGAGTGCCTCAAAACGAATCTAGGGGCCTGCTTGTCATGTCACCTTGTGGTCCCTGCAATTTCAGAAATTACCGTCATCACCCAGATAGTAGACAGTGTTGAATAGTAGACAGGGGTTGTCTATTATCCGAATGTGTCTCTTATAAACAGGCTAGCCTTATTATAAGACACCTATTTATGGGTACGGGTTAAAGCCCAAGTCTAGAATGGCAAGTGTTCAAGTTCAAGATTCTTGAACATGATTTCCCTATGGAACACGATAACCCGCTTTCCTGTGATGCTCTCTCGCGATCCACTGAGAAAGAATTCGAAGCGCTAGAATGTGATTGGCCAAGCCTACAGCAGCAAAACCACGTACAAAAACAAAAACAAAAACAAATGCACTGTTCACAATTCCGGAAACTTGAAACATCGAACACCGTTCTAGACTCGTTGCATAGCAGGCTCCGTAGCCCATAATACTGTCGATGGCCAGTAATTTCGCGAATCTCCCAGGACACAGCTGCAGACTTCTAGCATTGAAGCATGGTGTAGCTCACTCCTGTGCCGCACGACACCCCCAAAATCTCGAACCGTATCTATAGTCGCCTCCCTCGTGCATGTTGCTCGCGCTCCGCCAATCGCTTCTCGTCCCTCCCGTTTTTCGCGTCCCTATCGTCGATCCCATTTCTCCCGTCACCCTCGTCACGTGGGCGCCGCTCTCGTCACTTCCCTCCCGTCCCTCCCGTCGCTCACTTCCTCCGCTCGCTTCTTTCCCGTCGCCTTTTTCAAGGCGCTTCCTTCCCGCACCCCCGCCTACGCTTTCTCCCCGTGTCCACGCTTTACCATCCATGCGCTCACCGTTTTCCTTTCCCGTCAGCCTCACTTTTCCATCTCACCGCTCACCACTTTCTCATTCCATCGCCCTCGCTTTCCCTTCCCGGCCCTCCTGTAAGTCGCGCCCGTCCCTCCCGTCACCCCCGTCCCTCCCGTAGCCCTCCCGCTTTCTCTTCCCTTCGGTCTGTCGCGTCGCTCTCCGCCTCTCGCCTTCCTGCCCTCTTCCATCTCCCCCTTCCCTACGTGCAGTGTCCCCGCCTCCCAACACGCAATTTTCCCCCTTCCATATGCACAATTTTCCCCCTTCCGAATGGTCGCAGTTCCCCCCCCCCCCCCCCCCCCCCCCTACTCGGGGCTTCTCCCTTCTCATCTCGGTGCATTCGGTCTCTCCCCTACCTAGTCTCCCGTCCCGCAATTACTCCCGTTGCTCTCGTTACCCGTTGTTGTCCATCCATTGGTCGTAAATTGCCCGCTTCGTCGCTCGCGCACTTCGCTCACCCCCCTCCCTTCTACCTCCCTCCTTCCCCTCCATACTCTGCCATGCGCCAACCTCCCCGCACCAATCTCCCCGTGCCTTCCCGCGTAACGAGTGCAATTGTATAAAGAGGGGGTATCTTCTAAACGGTTCTTTGTCCATTTATAAGACTTATAAGACACCCTAAACCGTCCCAAATACAAGACAACTGAAGCATTTTTGTCCGTGTACGAGAAAAAACATATATGTCTACTATCCGGGCGATGACGGTACGACTTGTGAACACTGATCCACTTAGAATAATGCTTTAGCAGACCCTGAAATTTTTAATACACGCTCAGAGTAGTGTTCTTATGGACTCTGTCATTATAGAGTACGAGTCTTATGGACCCCGAATGATACATTATCGGAACAAAATTTTCAGGAACCTTCATACGAGAACTCCACTTTATTGGGACAAAGTATTTATTTATTTATTTATTTATTTATTTATTTATTATTATTATTATTATTATTATTATTATTATTATTATTATTATTATTTTCTTTCCGATACACCCACCATCGAATCGTACAATGCCAACTCGGGCGAACACAGCACAAGATATCGCACTGGCATACACTCTCTTCTCGCCAAAACCCGTAAGTTCGAAGGGTTGCTTGTTGCGACATATATTACCTGCCTGTAGCTACAGCTTTAGTGTAGTTATATTACCTTGCTGTTGGTGGTGCACCTTTGTTACTTTGCTATATGTACACCTTGAGTGCTATAGTGAACCTCATTCCCATTCACTCTCTCCTTGGCACAAACTCCCTCGATCCTACTTGGGCATAGGCTCCCAAGCCCTAGCTAAACCCTAGTATCTAAGAACGTTCGTACGTTGACATGCTATCAGAGCCAGGTTCCTCCTAGGACCTGCCTCATTGGGCCCACCCTTCGCTTCCTCTAATGCGCCACTCTGCTGCCCGTCGCGCGCCCCAGGCGCGTGGGAAGGGTGTGGGGGGGACGAGGGGTGGGGGGATAGACCATAGCGAGAAGAACCAGACTTGCTGCCTCCTCTTCTCTCTCTCTCTCTCTCTCTCTCTCTCTCTCTCTCTCTCTCTCTCTCTCTCTCTCTCTCTCTCTCTCTCTCTCTCTCTCTCTCTCTCTCTCTCTCTCTCTCTCTCTCTCTCTCTCTCTCTCTCTCTCTCTCTCGCTGGGCTGCCTGGGGGGGGAGGTTCAAGTCCAGCTGCAGCATCAGCCGCCTCCTCCTCCTCTCATCCGCATTCTTGTGCCTCTCGTGCCGTACGTGTCATTTCCTGCCCGCTCCATGTTCGTTCGTTCTGCCTGTGTTCGTTTGTTCTGCCCGTGCTCGTTCGTTTTGCTCGTGTATCTGTTCGTTTGCCCATATCCGTTCGTGCGTCCCGTTGCTACCCTTGTTCGTTCGTGCCTCATTCCGTGCTGCCCCGTGCGTTGCCCGTGCTTCCGTGCTTCCATGCTGCCCGTGTCCGTTCATGCCTCATCCCGTGCTGCCCCGTGCTCCCGTGCTCCCGTTCTGCCCGTGATCGCTCGTGCCTCATCCCGTGCATTGCTACCCGCATTTGTTCGTGTGTCCCGTTGCTGCCCGTGTACGTTCCTGCCTCACCCCATGCGTTGCTGACCGTCTTCGTTCGTGCCTCATCCCGGCATTGCTACCCGCATTTGTTCGTGCGTCCCGTGCTGCCCGTGTCCGTTCGTGCCTCACCCCATGCGTTGCTGGCCGTCTTTGTTCATGCGTCCCGTTGCTGTCCCTGTCCGTTCGTGCCCCACCCGTGGTAAGCCAGTGTAGTTGCTACCCGGTCCGCCATGTCTCGTTCGTGGATAGGGGGCGGTGGTGAGGTTAAAGAGGTTGACTAAAAAGGGGGTGAGGACTTGGAGGTTATTAACGGGGGGGATCGCTATGAGTGTGCGCACTCATGCCCACCTAGCCCACCTCCTCTCCTCATCGGGACTTGGGGGTTATTAACGGGGGGGGATCACTATTAGCGTGCGCGCTCATGCCCACCTAGCCCACCTCCTCTCCTCATCGGGACTTGGGGGTTATTAACGGGGGGGGATCGCTATGAGCGTGTGCGCTCATGCCCACCTAGCCCACCTCCTCTCCCTTTCCTCTCTCATCTCCCCCTTCGTAATAGGGGGTTCGTAAGCGGGTCCGCCGGCACTGGCCCCCCACCTCCTCTCCTCATCTCTGTCCTCGATGCACCCCTTCAGGGGGTGTGACTTACTCCAGCTGTGCGCTGCAGGCAATTAAGGGGGTGTGTCGCGATACATATTTCATATTTTTTTTTTAACTGCCTGTAGCTACAGCTTTAGTGTACTTATATTACCTTGCTGTTGGTGATGCACCTTTGTTAGTTTGCTACATGTACCTTGCGTGCTATAGTGAACCTGATTCCCATTCACTCTCTCCTTGGCACAAACTCCCTCGATCCTCCTTGGGCCTAGGCTCCTAAGCCTAAGCCCTAGCTAAATCCTTGTATCTAAGTATGTTCGTACGTCGACATTGCTTGCCTATCATAATTGTACGGAAGCCCAGCATATCGGCGAACAATAAACTCTAGCGGCATCTGAATTGTCGCTGCACACAAATCGTATCCAATGTCATGACATGTTCAGTTTTGATAAAGCACAGCGCATTACTTCTCTGATCCTGACTTCTCGACCCTGAACAATTAGACTATATAACTTCCCAACACTGAGCAATCAGGGTGATGATTAACTAGAAAATGTGCACCCATAATACAAGGGGAATTAGTTCCTGGATTCAGGGAGGCCTAATTTGAAACGTCAGCCCTAGTGTGTAGGTATACAAGTAACACTGAAGCATTAGTATAGTGTAGTGAGACACACTGAATCGGACTTAACCGATTTGGTGGGGGGTGGGGGGGGGGGGGGATGGAGAGGGAGGGGTGGGGGCGGGGGGGGAGGGGGATGGTGTCAAAATATGCTTATAACTCACACCTTAGCGGCCTAGGGTTTAGCTAGGAAGGATGAGAGTATGGAGAAAATAGTTTGACAAAAGAGGAAGATTGATTAGAAATGATACAATTTTAAATTGCATTCACTTTCTAAAATTTTGTACCGTGTCCACCCGGATACAAGCGCATGTGGGCCTCTAATAAATTATGTGAAATATCGCGCTAGTTGGCCGAAAACGATAACCCTGCCAACACTTGCAGTCACTTGGCGGTAAAACACTGCCTGTTTGACCCTGTTTGACTCGGCTGCACCAATCTTCGTGTTAAAAGCCTAAGATGACTTAGGACTAGGTTTTAATGGAAGAACGATAGTGTCGAGGTAGTTTGGCCAAAAGAGAGGGGTTGCACTATGGAAACAGCAGTACATATAGGCAAAATCTAGGGGTGCACAACCAACAATAGGCAGAATGACCACACTACAATCTAACTGCAAGTAGTTATACAACAGATATATAAAATATATCTTGACATGCCCCCATAAGTGCTTGCATATAGTGTAGCAACGCCCCCTGAGTGGTACACCATGCAGAGTGCAGCGGAAGAAGTAGGGCAAATGAGGAGGAGGAACCATGAGAGGAGAGGAGGTGGTGGGCGGCGGCTGAAGCTGCTGGCTCACTGGCTATTGGAGCAACTGGCACACGGGCAACTGGAGCAAGTAGCACACGGGCAAGTGGAGTTACTGGCTCTGCGGCTAGACGAGCAGCTGGAGCAACGGACTCACGGGCGACTGGAGCAACGGGCTCACGGGCGACTGGAGCAACGAGCTCATGGGCGACTGGAGCTGATGGCTTCACGACGACGACCCCCTTCAACCTCCCCCTTTCTCCCCAAACCTCCCCCCCATACCAGCAGGCCCGGCATCCCTACCGCCACTCCCTCGTCTCCCCCACACACTTCCCCCCCCCCCCCCCTCACAGCGGCACGTGGGGCGAGCGGGCAGCAGGGTGCACGGGGCGCGTATGGCAGCACGACGCGCTGGCGGGCAGGGCAGCACGACGCGCGGGCGAGAAGGGCAGCGCGATGCACGGGCGGGCAGGGCAGCGCGACGCGCGAGCGGGCAGGGCAGCGCGATGCGCGGGCGGGCAGGGCAACGCGATGCTCTGGCAGGCAGAGGGCAGCGCGATGCGCGGGCCGTACGCGGCTGCGCACGGCCGAACAAAGCTGCGCACGGCTGTGCGCTGGTTGGCCGCTAACACGCTCGCCACGGGCTGCGACGCGCGACGTGCGGGCTACGGTCAGAGAACGCCGTGAGCTCGATGAGGCGCGCCATGGAGAAACGTGGAGGGCCCACGAAATTTCAGGTCTAGGAGCGCGTTTATGCCCTGATACTATGTTAAATGCCTAAGATGACTGAGGACTAGGGTTCAACGGTAGAACGATAGTGTCGAGGTAGTTTGGCCAAAAGAAAGGGGTTGCACTATAGAAACGACAGTACATATAGGCAAGAGCAAGGGGTGCACCACCAACAATATGCAGAATGACTACCCTACAATCTAAATGCAAGTAATTATACAATGGATACATATATATATACACATACAAATATATAATATCTTGACACTTCGAACTTCCGAGGTTGTTCTCGGATGCCTGAACGAACAAAAAACGGTTTATTACGATTGATTCAATAAAATCATTGGTAGAAAGTTCGCATGCGTGATTTACCAGAAGCTTATAATCGGCAACACCTTATAAGCGCAGTCACCCAGATATAAGCACATGCGCCAAATAAAAGGGTGCGCTTCTATCCATGTGGACACTGTATTGTGTCAGTGAAGCAGTTGCCAACGCAGCAAAGGTAGCGTCGCACCGCTACTCGCCCTCTTTTGGCTACAAAAGAGGGGATGGATGCCATTTGGATTCCGGCGAAGACTCAGTCACGTTAACCTTTCTAGTTGAGTTTCACTCTGGCGAAGACTCAGTCACTTCTGCGTTCTTGTGCTCCGACAACCCTTCTCAACGACATACTTAAGCACAACATTGCGTCAATGGCGTCCGCCAACAGCACCAATAATGGCGAAGGAAACAAGTTGGCGAACACTTCGGTCGCGCTGAACTCCGGGAGTCTGCCCGGGGCAACAACCCGTCACTTGAAACATCCAGCCGAGGAAGGACGCAAGGACTTCGCAACGGGCATAGAATCCCTACTGGGCGTGACATTCTCAGCATCTTCTGAGCATCCCCCTGCCTCGCGCGCTGCTTCTAAGTAGTCGCGCGACATGGCGAAAAAAACAGCCGCTGACGCGACTGTCATGATCGCTTCGGCTGGCCAAGCAGGACCCTTAGGCGCACGCGACAAGGAGCACGCGCCAGCGGCACCCTCGGGCCACACGCCCTCTGCTGCTGACGCGTTTCATGCCTTCACCCCTGCGCAGGTTTAGGCGCTGATGGCGCTGTTACAGCAGCACGCACCTGTAACGGCCGAGACTTCGAAAAACTAAGCAGTTACAGCATAAAAAAAAATAAGGGCGTATCTTTGTTTCCGGTCATTAGCACTGTTCATTCTACTGTTTGGGTCATGCGGAAATTGCGCATGACCCGAAGTGGGCTGCCGAGCCGCGCGCGGCCCCAGCTTTGGGTCAATGTGTTGGGCGACTGACATGCACGACCCACCCCCAACCAATCACCTGGTTGCACGATTCACATTAGACTGCCATCTTTTTTGCGGTCGTCAGTCGAGTGCCACAATTTTGCAATGTACCGTATCCTACACCTCTGCACCCAACCACTCGGCAAATTGATTTCAGTGACCAAAGAATGTGTCTAAAATTTCCCGCGTCGCGGTCCCAACATTTGGGGATTCACGCGACATTTTTACGATTGTGTTTTTCGATGGGTGTCGCATGGTTTTGCGTGGGTGTAGCAAATGACCTTTCGAACTGTTCTGGCATCCCTCCATTGGATGCGACTGTTGTTTGGGGCGTAATTTTGGCGAGAAAAGCCTCGCGCCAATTTGGGGGTCGCATGAGTTTCGAGAACCCAAAGTGGTGTTTTGTGTTGTTCCGGGCATCCGCAATTCGCGCATGCCCGGAACAGTGCTCATGACCCGAACCTGGATACGCCCTAACAAGAAAGAAAAAAGTGTTGTTGCCGCTCCTCGCCCGCCCAAGGCCGCTCGCATCGAAAAGGGCACTGCTCCGGCACCTGCCGACGACGGTAGCGACGAGTCTGACGATGCTGCTAGTGAGTCTCATCACTGCCGCAACCAATGTCCCTCGCCCTACGCTCCCCTCTTTCACTCCCTCAATTGCAACGACCACGTTCAACCGCAAGAGTGTTCGTGATCAGGCAGAAGTGCTCTCTGCCATCCAAGCCCACCTCAGACTCTTGGAGCTCCAACTGCAGCAAGGTGACGTAGAGGGGGCGCTCGCCAACGTAACTCAAATCAAAACGCTCATCAACAAGCACTTCAAGGTGCTCTTGGTGGTGAATGAGGCGGGTTATGAGGCGGGTTTTGAAGCAGCCGACCGCTTCCAGCTCTCTCAATCGAAAAGCGTGCTCACCTCTCGCTCCTACAAAGTCGCTGTGGCGGACGTGGCCGCATGAAGTACCATCTCATTGCGCGGAGTAGTGGCCTCGAGAATGGTGAGATCGGGATCAAGGGTGCCGAGAAAGGCTCGTGCCAAAACAGACCCTTCAAAGGCACTCATTTTTGCTGCACCAGCCCGGGCACATGGCTAATGTCTGCCCCATAGGGGGCTTGGCGGACAAGGCCCCACACCCATGGTGTGAGGAATAGCCAAGGGTGAAGCCCTCCTTTAATGCCGAAGGGCATAAGGGGTTGCAATAAGAGGTGCACGGCTGAGGAGCAGCCCAAGAAAGTAGAGGGACCAGGGGACCCCTAAAGGAAGGCCCGTGGGGCCGCTAGATGGCGTTGCAACTGTTTATTGTCATGTTCTTTAAAGAAAGAAAGAAGAACAAGAAAAAACGGTTTTTAAGTCGTTCATTCCTCACGTTGAACCATGGGCCCTTGAATGGTGCCACACGATAGAAAGGGAAAGTTGGCAAGCCAACTCAGAGAATGTGAAAAAAAAAAAAAAAATGTGTGGGGAGAATTGGAAGGCAAGTCATCCGGTATTGCCTAGTGCAAGCTCGCTCAAAACAGAGTGACAAAGAGAGCAAAAGAAAAATGCGAACGAATAAGAAAGGGGGCCATGCAAAGGAAGATCACCAATGGGCAGATCCAAAAGACCAAGGTTCGTCATGCTGACCAGAAATAATAATAATAATAATAATAATAATAATAATAATAATGATAATAATAATAATAATAATAATAATAATAATAATGATAATAATAATAATAATAATAATAATAATAATAATAATAATAATAATAATAATAATAATAATAATAATAATAATAATAATAATAATAACAATAACAACAACAACAACAACAACAACAACAACAACAACAACAATAACAATAATAATAATAATAATAATAATAACAATAACAATAACAACAACAACAACAACAACAACAATAACAATAATAATAATAATAATACATGTTTACTTGCCCGATCGTTGGCCATCGTGCCAACAACCATTCTTAGATTTGAAAGACCTCGTGTCAAACATTGCATGCTTATATTATGTAGGCTGTAGTGGGTTACACCTTAGGGGGTACTGAAAGTTAGGGTTTCCTACTTGTACCAAACTATGTGCTAGTTCAATCCATTCCTGCTCAGTTATTTCTGACATGGTTTCAGAGCAGGTCCTTCGCTAGGACTGTTCTTAGGGCCCACCGACTTACCTACCTGCTTACCTTCACTTGTTTCCGGCCCCGCTGGCCCCGTCGATCTAGCACGATCTAGCGGCCCTGCGGCCCCGTCGAACTTTTTTTTTTCCTAGCGGCCTCTCACGGCCCCCGTCGCGTCGCCCCTTAGCGCCCCGATCGGCCCCGTCACGCCGCCCGCGAACCGCACAGCGCGCCGCGCTCACAGCCCGCGAACCGCCCACGCACAGCCCGCGAACCGCCTGCGCAGCCCGCGACCAGCCCGCGCAGCCCGCACACAGCCCGCGAACTGCCCGCGAGCAGCCCGCGACCTGCCCGCGAACCCCCGCGAGCCGCCCGCGACCCGCTTACGCAGCCCGCGAGCAGCCCGCGCAGCCCGCGCTGAGCCTGCGCGGCTCGTGCGCTGACCGCCGCCGGCCCGCACGCTGCCCGCACAGCTCACATACGGCCCGCGCGGCCCGCGCACTGCCTGCTACCGGCCCGCCGCTGCTGAGCCCGCAGCCGCCCGCGCACCGCCGCTGCTGCGCCCGCCGCCGCCCGCGTATCACCGCTGCTGAGCCCGCCCCTGCTGCGCCGGCTCTCGCTGCCGCCTGCTGCGCCTGTGCACCACTGCAGATCCTGCTACTACTGCAGATCCTACTACTGCTGCTTGTGCGCCACTACAGTCCGTAGGCCCCACCGGCCCCGCTGACCCTGCGCACGCCTTTTCAGTGACTTTACTGCTTCTACTACTGCCGCTGTCGCTATGGCTAGTCCTCCTGTTCTAGCTTTCGACGCCGAGGGCCGTCCGGTCAAATTCGAAACCTGGCTAGATGACCTGCACCTTTTCCTACAGCTCACTGCCAAGGAAGATATTACTCTGTACGACCACGCTCTCGGCCATGCGACCGCCCCACTCACTACTGCCCCCCCAGCTGAGCGCTCACAGTGGCAGACCCGTGACGCGCACGCTCGCTTTGCTATTCGCAACTCCCTGCCACTAGATGAGCGCGAGCACTTCGGCCAGTGCAAGACTGCTAAGGACCTCTACACAGCTGTAGTGGCCCGCTACTCCTCACCCGCTTCTGCCACGCTAGGCCGCCTCACTCTCCCCTACCTGTTCCCCGACCTAGCCTCCTTTCACACTGTCGCAGACCTCATCACCCACCTTAAGACTAGTGAGGCTCGCTTTCGCGCTGCCATGCCTGACGAGTTCCTCGCTAGCAACCCCCCCCCGCTCTGGATCACTCTCTACCACGTTGTCACCCGCCTCCCTGACTCTCTGCGCCCTGTCAGGGACCAGTTCCTCTCTCGCTCCCCCACTGAACTCACCGTAGACCTCCTCGAGAAGGAACTGCTTGCAGCCGAGGCTAGTATCGTCGCTGTAGGCACCTCTCGTGGCGACCCCCGCGGCCCCTTCTTCGAGGGGTGCTCCCCTTCCCCCCTCCTCCCCTCTGTCGCCTCTGCTGCTGCTGTCGACCTCCTTGGTACTGAGAAGGTCGGGGCTGCGTCTGCTTCAGGCGGACGACGCAGGGGCAGGAGTGGCAGGAGTGGGGGTGGTGGCGGAGGAGGCGGGAGTGGAGGTGGTGGCGGTGGAGGTGCGACTGGAGAGGCTAGTGGCGGCAGTGGTGGAGGTGACAGCGGCGGTGGGAGTGGTGACAGGGGCGGAGGTGGCATCGGAGGCGGAGGTGGTCGTGGCAGCGGCAGGGGTGGAGGTGGCCGGGGCGGAGGCGGCGGGGGTGGTGGTCGTGGAGGCCCGGGGGGCGGTCAGAGTCAGCAGCCTGCCCCGACCCTTCAGGCCGCCCGTGAGTGGTATGCGCGGCGCAGCGTCACCTGCCAGTACGTTATTCGCACAGGTGACCGCACTGGCCAGACGTGTGGGGGGCCGCACCAGACGGAGCGCTGCTTCGCCCGCCTCAACGACGCGTGGCGCACCCAGTTTCCTGGTGGGGGTGAGCTGCCGCGCTGGGCTGAGCTGCTCAGGAAGGGTGTTGATATTTGGGCACTAGACTTTGATGCTATTCTCACTGCCATGTATGCGATGTCTATTAGTGGAGAGGGTGCTCAGTACTTGCGTGTTCCGCCCGACCCGGGCATTCAGGCTAGCCCCGCTGCTGCTCTAGGTGCTAGTGTGTCTGCTCCCACAGGTACTACTGCAGCTGCTGCTCTAGGTACTTGTGCGTCTGTGCCCCCTGGTACTGAGTTGACTGCAGCACTGCACACCTTCACACTGGACTCAGGTGCTTCTCGCTCTTTCTTTCGTGACCGCACTGTCCTTGAGCCTCTAGCTCGGCCGGTTGCTGTCTCTCTTGCTGACCCCTCTGGGGGTCCGGTCCTTGCGACCTCCTCCACCACCCTTCCGTGTCCAGCGGTTCCGTCCGGCACGCTCTCAGGTCTCTACCTCCCCTCGTTCTCCACGAACTTGGTGGCAGGTAGTGCGCTCCAGGACGGGGGTGTTCACCAGTTCACCCCTGCCTACGAGCGTGTGACTCACTGCACATGTGCTCGGACGGGCCGTCACCTAGCTACTTTCACTCGAGAGCCGGGGTCTGACCTGTACACACTGACCACTGAGTCCCCTCAGGTAGCTGCGTCTGCGTCAGCGTCAGGTCAGCTGTCCGCCCCCTGCTCGTGTCGCTCTCTGGCGAACGACACCGTCCTCTGGCACCACCGCCTTGGTCACCCGTCTGTGCAGCGCCTGCGGGCCATGCACAAACGGGACCTTGTTGCTGGTCTTCCCAGGGTGCTCCCTCCCCTTCCTGACTCCCCTGCTCCTGACTGCATTCCCTGTGTCGAGGGGCGGCAGCGCGCCGCTCCTCACTCCTCCTCCTTTCCCCCGACGACCGCTCCCCTGCAGACGCTCCACATGGACGTGTGGGGCCCAGCCCGCGTCCGTGGTCAGGGTCAGGAGAGGTACTTCCTGATCGTTGTTGACGACTACTCGCGCTACACCACGGTCTTCCCCTTGCGCGCCAAGGGTGACGTCCCTGGTGTTTTGATCCCCTGGATCAGCCGAGCCCGTCTCCAGCTAGGCGAGCGCTTTCACTCGGACTTTCCTGTCCTGCGCTTGCACTCTGACAGAGGTGGTGAGTTTGCCTCCGACCTCCTGGCAGCCTACTGTGCTGAGCACGGCATTGAGCAGTCGTACACGCTTCCGGCCTCTCCACAGCAGAATGGGGTTGCTGAGCGGCGCATTGGCTTAGTCATGGAGGTCGCTCGTACCTCCCTGACCCATGCGGCTGCTCCCCACTTTCTGTGGCCGTTTGCGGTCCGGTACGCTGCGCATCAGCTCAACCTCTAGCCCCGTGTCTCCTTGCCGGAGACTTCCCCGACTCTGCGGTGGACGGGAGAGGTTGGCGATGCGTCGCGTTTCCGGGTGTGGGGATCCCGAGCTTTTGTCCGCGACACGTCTGTGGACAAGCTCTCCCGTCGCGCTCTTCCCTGTGTCTTCCTTGGCTTTGTTCCCGACGCGCCTGGATGGCAGTTTTACCACGTCACCTCGCGCCGGGTTCTGGCCTCTCAGGACGTCACTTTTGACGAGTCCGTCCCCTTCTACCGCCTCTTCCCCTACCGCACTGCCCCGCTCCCCCCCCCGCCTCTCTTCCTCGCTCCAGGTGCTGAGGTACCAGACCCCCTCCCCCCTCAGGGTGCCGCTCCCTCAGGTGTGTCCCAGGTAGACCCGGGTGAGCCTGTCGAGGTAGCTGTTGACTCGCGTCCTGCGTCTGGGGGTGCTGAGCCTGGGGGTGCTGAGCCTGGAGGTGCGGAGCCTGGGGGTGCTGAGCCTGGAGGTGCGGAGCCTGGAGGTGCGGAGCCTGGAGGTGCGGAGCCTGGAGGTGCGGAGCCTGGAGGTGCGGAGCCTGGAGGTACTGAGCCTGGGGGTGCTGAGTCTGGGGGTGCTGAGCCTGAGCGTGCTCCACCTGGAGGAGCCCTCTCCTCCCAGCAGCTGCAGGAGAGGTACCTCGAGTACTGCCGCCTCCGGAGAGGTGCTTCTGGAGCTCGTCCCGGTACTTCCCCTCCTACCCAGGAGCTCCCCCCCATTCAGGTGATCCGCGAGTGGTACACGCGGCGCTGCAGTCTTCGTAGTGGTGCTCCTGGTGCTGCGGACCTGAGCGGTGGTGCTGTTGCTGGTGCTGAGGACCCGGACGCTGGAGCTACTGCTGGTGCTGAGGACCCGGGGGCTGGAGCTGCTGCTGGTGCTGAGGACCCGGGCGTTGGAGCTGCTGCTGGTGCTGAGGACCCGACCGGTGGCGCTGCTGCTGGTGCTGAGGACCTGACCAGTGGCCCTGCTGCTGGTGCTGAGGACCCGGGCGTTGGAGCTGCTGCTGGTGCTGAGGACCCGACCGGTGGCGCTGCTGCTGGTGCTGAGGACTCGGGCGTTGGAGCTCCTACTGGTGCTGAGGACCCGGGCGTTGGAGCTGCTGCTGGTGCTGAGGACTCGGGCGTTGGGGCTGCCACTGGTGTCCCTGCTGCTTCTGGAGACGCTGCGCGGCCGCGACCGTACTTCGTACCGCTCCTTCAGCAGGTTCTTAGGCAGGCTCCTCCTCCTTGTCCTCCTCCCTCCGTAGAGTGTCCTCCGCCTGTCCAGCCGCAGTCACAGTTACCGCCTGCCTCGCCTCTCCCTGCTCCCTCTCCTTACGCTGGTCCCACAGGAGGTCTTACAGAGCGTCGTGAGCCTAAGTCTCGTCCTGCGTCGCCTATTCGTACTGCTCGCACTGGTCGTCGTGTCCCACGTGAGCGTCCTCCTCCTGTCCCTGGCACTCACTACATGACTCTGCGTCCCTCCACTGCTCCGCAGCGTGTCCCGCTGCCGTCTCCTCCTGCGTCCTCTCTTCCTACTCTTCCTGACCCGGAGTCTGACTCCCGTCGTGCTGCTAGTCCCACTGTTACGCGTCTCCTCGCTACAGTTGTCACTGACCCGACCTTTGAGTCCTCTGCTGCGTCTGCTCTGGTCGCTGAGTTGGTTGACTTTGCTGCTCGCTGTCGCCTAGACTACGCTGCCAGCCTTGTCGCTAGGTCTGAGTCTGCGTCTGCCTGTCCTCCGTCCGTCGGGGGTGAGTGTGCCCTCGGCACGGACGTCCTTGAGGACAGACAGGAGGAGTTCCACTGCCTTGCTGCTGCTTTGCCCCGTCTCGTGTCCTTGCTAGTTGCCCCTGAGGGAGACCCGGATGCACCAGACATCCCGACCCCACGCTCTTACGCTGAGGCGATGGCGGGTCCCTACTCCTCTCAGTGGCAGACAGCCATGGACGCAGAGATGGCCTCCTGGAAGTCCACAGGCACCTACGTAGACGAGGTTCCCCCTCCTGGGGCGAACATCGTCAGTGGCATGTGGATTTTCAGGGTGAAGCGGCCGCCGGGTTCTCCTCCTGTCTTCAAGGCGCGCTACGTGGCTCGAGGCTTCAGTCAGCGAGAGGGAGTAGACTTCTTTCAGACCTTCTCCCCCACCCCGAAGATGACTACTCTTCGGGTGCTGCTGCACATAGCCGCTCACCGCGACTACGAGCTTCACTCTCTTGACTTCAGCACTGCTTTCTTGCAGGGCAGCCTGCACGAGGAGATTTGGCTGCGCCGCCCCCCTGGCTTCACTGGGTCAGTTCCTCCTGGCACCCAGTGGAGGCTTCAGCGGCCGGTCTACGGTCTCCGCCAGGCGCCACGTGAGTGGCACGACACACTGAGGACGACACTTGCGGCTCTTAGGTTCGCTCCCTCTACTGCTGACCCGTCGCTGTTTCTACGCACCGACACCTCGCTGCCGCCGTTCTACATCCTCGTGTACGTCGACGACTTGGTCTTTGCCACTGCTGACACCGCGGCACTCGCTCACGTGAAGTCGGAGCTGCAGAGGAGACACACGTGCACAGACCTGGGTGAGCTGACGAGCTATCTTGGCTTGCGGATCACCCGGGACAGAGCACGGCGCACCATCACCCTGACTCAGTCACACATGGTGCAGCAGGTTCTCCAGCGCTTCCGCTTCACGTACTCCTCGCCTCAGTCCACTCCTCTGCCTACCGGTCACTCGCTCTCAGCTCTGCCTTCGGATGAGTCCGTAGAGCCGAGTGGCCCGTATCCAGAGCTTGTGGGCTGCCTCATGTACCTGATGACCTGCACTCGACCTGACCTTGCATACCCTCTTAGCATCCTAGCACGCTATGTCGCTCCTGGCCGTCACCGGAAGGAGCACATGGATGCTGCTAAGAGGGTGTTGCGCTACTTGTGCAGTACGTCGGGCATGGGGCTTGTGCTTGGAGGGCGAGACCGGGTTGTTCTCACAGGGCACTCAGACGCTTCTTGGGCAGACGACCAGGCTACTCAGCGGTCGTCCCAGGGTTACACCTTCAGCCTTGGCTCTGGCTCAGTTTCTTGGCGTTCTACTCGCTCTTCTTCTGTTCTCAGCTCCAGTTGTGAGGCTGAGATCTACGCCACAGCCATGGCTGCTCAGGAGCTACGCTGGCTGACCTACCTGCTGACCGACCTCGGAGAGCGGCCTCGTTCTCCTCCAGTGCTGTACGTCGACAACAAGGCTGCCATTGCCTTGTGTGAGGAGCACAGACTGGAGCACAGAACGAAGCACATCGCTCTGCGGTACTTCCTTGCTCGAGAGCTGCAGCAGCGTGGTCAGCTTTGTCTGCGTTACGTGGCCACGGAGGCCAACACTGCTGATGTGTTCACCAAGGCACTTCAGCCTTGTGACCATCAGCGCTTTTGCACTCTGCTAGGCCTTGTACCTACTGGGCCTCACTTGCTTACCTCTTGACCTTGCTTGTACTGTGATCACTATATATATATGCCTACTTGTTTACTTTTGCTAGGTTGTGATCACTGTATCTCTTGCTTTGTTATAAACCTGCATGTGAACTGGTCTTGTGACCGCTTGCTTGTGCTCGGAATTTGTGTGGAATCCTTGAGATCCACCCTGAGCTTGCTTTGCTTTGCTTTGACTGGTCTTGTGACCCTGTGGTTGTCTCCCACTGCGCCTATGGGGGTGTGTCAAACATTGCATGCTTATATTATGTAGGCTGTAGTGGGTTACACCTTAGGGGGTACTGAAAGTTAGGGTTTCCTACTTGTACCAAACTATGTGCTAGTTCAATCCATTCCTGCTCAGTTATTTCTGACACCTCGGTCATCTAGCTCACTATCAGAGCTGCTGTGAAGGATGAAGGTACAAAACAAAAAAGAAAAAGAGGGAGAGGGATAGAGAAAAAAGGGGGGCATAATGAAAGAGAGAAAGAGAGAGAGAGAGAGAGAGAGAGAGAGAGAGAGAGAGAGAGAGAGAGAGAGAGAGAGAGAGAGAGAGATAGAGAGAGAGAGAGAGAGAGAGAGAGAGAGAGAGATGGCATAGTCGTAGTCCTTAGCCATTTCTAGGCCTCTCTTCTCTAGGATCTAGTCCTTAGCCATTTCTAGGCCTGTTTCTTTAGTATAAAGGCCCTGGATCTAGGCTAGTGAGCTCATTATTCACTGGTGAGTTAGGTTCACTCTCCAAATCCTGGCCTGTTTCCTCTCTTCATTTCTGGCCTGTTGCCTTCGGCCGCGCGTGAGAGGTGGCAAGGAGATCAGCAACACAAGTCATAAAAGCAGCATGTGGTACATCAGAGGCCACTAGAGAATCAAGACAAGGACACCACCCCCAGGCAAGGGGATTCCGCCATGGGGAAGCCCAAGGCAAGGCCTAGCACCACGGGAGCCTGCAAGGGAAAACCACCTGTTACACCTGGGCTCCACTAATTTCAAGCCCTGGAAAATGTTTTCAGAGACACCCTAGACCAGATTCGGCCGTATCTTTCAGACACCCATAATCAAAACGATATTGAAGACGCTCTCCTCAACGGTTGTTTAAAACAATGTGTCCCTCAGTGGATCAGGCTTACAACCCTCTCTGACGGGAAAAATTTCTAGTTGCGACCTTCGTTGCGTCATTGCCCTCACAAGGAGTCCGAAACCCTACCTACTTCAAAATATGTTTCACTCTGTACAACCCTTGGTCCCAGACATAATAAGGGTAGCTACCCGCGAGCGCCCGATTTCGGGCCTTGAAATTAGTGGAGCCCATGTGTACTCGGCGAGGATCCAGCACAGCCTCCCGTCCATCCAGCGCAGGACGGATGCGGCTGCTGACATGAGACCGAGGGGGCTCCCCCGAGCAGACTCAGCAAGCCTTACCATTGCCCGGGGGCCGGGCCCGAGCGCAGCACCAGGGGCGCCCGGCATAAGGCCGATCAAAGGAAGGTAGTGCAGCATCTCTGTGGCCGCAGCCACCGCCACAGACCGTTCCGCCAGCAACATCCCCCCAACCTCCAAGCCTTGCCGCGCCAAACACACGTGGAGCTGGTCTAGTACGTACGACAGCAACGTCAAACACGTCCCCACGTGCACAACGCGCTGCTCGACGAGGGGAGGCGTCGCGGCTACAGGAGCAGCAGCGGGAGGAGCAGGCGGGACAGGGGGGAATGGCGGCACAGGGGGCGTTGGCGGATGGTGCAGCTGAGGCTGGGGTAGGGGAAACTGGTTTATGGGAGGACGCTGCTGCTGTGGAGCCGGGTTTGACGCTGCGGGTGGAGACTGTTGTGGCTGCGGTGGCAGATACGACGGAGGCGGAGCGGGTGACGCACTGGCCTGCTGCCGAGACTGTTGCCGCCTTTGACGACGGCTTAATCCCACCCGATGCGGTGCAGCCGACGGCGACGCCGCCGTCGGCAGACGAGGGTCGAGCTGCAGAGGCGGTACAGGTGGAGCGGGGGCTGGCTGATTCACCGGTGCCAGCAGTGGCAGAGTCCTTGCCAGCTCTCGAAGAGTCAGAGATTGCTGCGGTCGTGGCTGAGGCAGCGAGGCGACAAGGACAACCCCCGAGCGAAGCATCTGCGCCGACTGCCGCTGAGTCCGCCGGAACGCCTGCTGCTGCCGCGGCCGCAAGCACGCAGGCACACGGCCAGGCGGAGGGTGGAAGTGAGGGTCCCGCGATCGTCGCCGCTTCCGGCACCGCCTCGGCGAGGAGGAAGACGAAGCTGCGCGCCCAGCCAACGCCGAGGCGGCCCGGAGCAGGGCTGGGACCTGGGGTCCCGGGACCCCTCCTGGGCTGGCTTCGACAAGGGCAGTCGCCACCAGGGCAAGCGCGTTTGCTGTCATCTGCACCACAGCCTGCAATGGGACCCGGCGCGAGGAGGAACACGGGTGAGACTGGTCAAGCACAACGGGGAGCCGAGCAGTCAAGTCCAATGCAACAACCAATTATTACACCCTCGACCCAGCAAGCAACTCACCGCGAAACACGGAGCTCGAAGAGAGGTCGCGGAATAGTGTGGGGTAGGCCGTCAGGGGCGGGACGAGCGACTATGGCGACCCCCTGGGACCCGGCTGGCAGGGGTTTAAGGTCTGCACAGGAAAGCGCGAGGGGCGGTGGCGCCGGCGTACCCTCCGCGATCCTCTGCGGAGGAAGAGGGGGAAGGGGAGGGACACGCGGAGGGGGAGTTCCTCTCCTAGGAGGAGAGGCTGCGATCGCAAGATCAGGCACGTGGCGTGATCGCCACGACCGTCCAAAGCGTGTAGCTACGCTCGTGAATGGGGGTGAGGATGGTTCTGATAACTCCCCGAATGGGAGCGACTTTATCCCGTCGCACTCTGAAGCATCGGAGGAGGTCTCCCTGGGTGATGACAAGAATCAGAATGTCTTGACGCAGAGGCGAGTGAGGAGGGGGGAGCAACGTGGTATGCCACATCCTTCCAACATGCCAGCAGGACAGGCCGTAGATGTGCTACCGCAACCATCTAAGAAATCGCCTGCGGACTTGGCAAAGGACGAGTCTTTCTGGCATTTGGCTAGCACTTGGGACATCGCGCCACTCCAGCGAGCGGACCAACCGTTTTTGGTGAGGCGGTTGCCCCCAAAGATTCTGGAGAGCTACACCTTGTGTCTTCTGGCACCACTGCTGTGGCTGGCTACCCATCCAGACTGTGTGGGGGCGTGGACTGTGCTGCAGTTTTTGCCCCGTTTGACCCTTCGACCTCTCCCAGAGCCGGTGGAAGGGAACCGCTGGATCAAGATTGAGACTCGGCTGCACCACTTCAGGCTCGGGGATCTTGCCGATCTCTACAGTGAGGCATGCGCGATCCCCGATACTGGAGCCCCGACACGTCATCAGCCAGACGAGGCAAGCCTGTGTGCATGAGCAGAGGGGTTGATAAAGAAGGCCAACATTTCGAAGGCAGTTTCTGCGTTCCAAGTGACCCCGCTGGCGAAACCAACACCTGCTACACTTGCTGCCTTACAAACGAAACACCCTGTCGGGGAATTACCAATTCCGAGCTGGGTAACCAACTGCACCGGTACGCCTGCCTCGTCATTGAACCTGACCCCAAGCGACGCCCGCGAAATACTCGCGAAGTGCCCGAACGGAGTCGGAGCTGGGACCTCAGGCACCTGTTTCGAGCATTTGAAGGACCCGGCCCACTGCAGCGAGGAACTCCTTCTACTCCTTACCAAGTTTATCAGCCAGCTACTCAACAGCGCACAGACGAGAGAGATATGGGACATCCTCCTTCCGTCTCGGCTGATAGCACTCGAGAAGCCAGGGGGGGGGGGCGTACGACCTATCGCTATAGGAGAGGCCTTGCGTAGGGTAGCGGCGAAGGCAGCATTACGCGAGTTAGCACCAGCGATTCGCGAATTCTTCCTCCTCGTCCAGTACGGTGTGTCTGTGCCTGGCGGGGCCAGTGCGTCATTCACACTGTACGGGCCTTGCTCCGGAAACATGACCACTATGTAGAAAACGCGTTTAATTCGGTCGAGCGGGAGGCGTTTTTCTCGGCGTTAGAAATCTCGGACCTGCACCAGCTGCTGCCGTTTGTCGGAACGCTATATGACTCACCTTCGCGTCTCCTAGTCGACCCGGCCCTAGGAGTCGAGCACATCATGAGCTCTCGCGGCGTGCGTCAGGGCGATCCCCTCGGTCCTCTCCTGTTTGCAGCGGCGATTCAGCCGACCCTGATGAGCGCGGCAACTTCGCACCCAGGAGCAGCTGTCATAGCGTACGCCGACGACATCACAGTAGTGGGACCACGGGTGGATGTGTTCAACGCCTTCGACGCTATCGTCACTGAGCTGGCGAAGCGCGGGCTGCGGTGCAACGTGGCAAAGTCATCGGCATGGGGACCGCGGGAGGGGGATGAGGGGCAGATGGGACCGCCACATGGTTTGCTGATGAGTACGGAAGGGATCAAGGTACTTGGCAGCCCCATCGGCACGCCGGAGTACTGCACCACAGAGATCCGACAGGCGCTCGCCAAAGCATCGGCACCTGTCCCCCTTATCGCGCAGCTGCACCCACAATACGCCCTACTACTACTCTCCCGCAGCATCTCCCGCAGGATCTGATACCTGCTCCACACCACACCGAGCAGCGCATTGGAACGAGAGGAGTGGCGGGCGTGGAGCGAGTCACCGCTAGGGGCGGCGCTTGCTGCGGCCAAGCTACGGGTCCCGGCCAGTAAGCTGGAACAGAGCCTCTTGTGGCGACAAGCAACTCTGCCCGTGCGCCTTGGGGGGCTGAGCATCATTGATCCCATCTCCGAGGCACCAGCGGCGTATATTGCGTCCCTGACAGCAGCGCATCACCTGCTTCAGCAGATGAACCTGCGAGAGCAGGAGCTGTTAGCGCGGGCGGAGACACTGCTGTCCAGAGACTGGATCCCTCCGCCCCCAGCGACAAACGTGCTGGTTACTCTGGAGGAGAGGCTGCCGGCGGAAGCACGGATGGCACTACAGTCCTACAGGGAGGGCCCTCAGGGGCAGGGTAACCTGCAGCTTCTCTTGTCCAAGCACATCAACGTGGTACGGGCCAGGGAGCTGCTAGCCGACACTTTGGCGGACAAACCGGGGGAAGACCAGGGGCACGGGGTCCGGCTGGTTAGTTTGAGAGGAGTGGGAGTCGGGGATTGGCTACACGCAGTGCCGACGAGATCTGACCTTACATTTGCCCCTGGTCAGTTCTCGTTGGCACTCGGGTTCCGCCTCGGGATGGCCCTCCCAGTCACGGTCAAGTGCCCCTGTAAGCGCGACAACGCGGAATTCAAGGATACTAGCTTGGCGAATCACCTGCTCCGGTGTGGGGAGGGGGGGGATGTGGTGAGGACGCATAATGCCCTGGTTTACACGGTGCTGAGATTGGCAAGGGAGGCAGGCTTCAATACATTCCATGAGACGTCGGTGTTTACCCCCCCGATCCACCGCAAGAGGGCGGACCTTGCATTCCAGGACAAGGAATCGGCCGAGACTTGGGTCACGGATGTAACAGTGACAGACCCGGTGCTGCAGAAGCGGGACCCTAGGGTGCGGAAACCGCCTGGGTGGGCAGCCAGGGAAGCTTCCGAGAAGAAACATCACCTGTATGAAGGCCGCCCCGACTACGTAGGTTGTTTTGGCCTTGCAGCTGAAACTTACGGGGCGTTGGCGTCTGATACAGTACAGTTTCTTAGGCTGCTAGCCGTGGCCACGGCGAGGAAGAAATTTAGGCAGGGGCCGCTCACTACTACAGCATCCCGCCTCAATGCACACTACCGTCAACGCTGGTCGGTCATGCTGCAGCGTTCCCAGGCGATTTCTTTCCTTAACAAGAGCAACATGGCGGCCAAGGCGGCCTTCCCCCAAGCACCTGCAGACCCCTAGGAGCCGAGCCTAGGGGACCTCTGGCAGGTGCTCGATGATGACCTTGCAGGAGTGTAAGCACAGCCGGGGATGAACCAGGGGTGGTAGGGTGGAGCACGAGGTTGGGAATACCTAGGTAGCCCAGCCGGTAGCACCAGGCTGCCATAGCAACGGCCACTTGGGGACCTTGTGAGCCCTTCGTTGGTGGTTTTGTTTGCATGCTGGTTTTTCCGCCCATCACGTTGCCTACCTAGGATAGCCTATCAGCCAAAATCATGACCTGCTTGCCTGTACCCTTTCATCAACATAAATGCATGACCGCTTGAGAGAGAGAGAGAGAGAGAGAGAGAGAGAGAGAGAGAGAGAGAGAGAGAGAGAGAGAGAGAGAGAGAGAGAGAGAGAGAGGGGAGGCACACAAGTAGAGACACACAAGTGGATAGAAGGGGAGCAAAGAGAAGGGACGTGTTGGTTGCACACAAGGAGCCACATCCACCCAATCTAATGACCAAGCCTGATGAAGGTTGGAAATTTCGACGGGGGGGGGGGGGGGGGAAGGGAATACGAGCTGAGCCCAACACTAACACACACACACACATACACACACACACACACACACACATGCACACACACACACACACACACACACACGCACACACACACGCACACACACACACACACACACACACATACAAAACGGGAAAGAGAGAGGGAGGGGAGAGAAGTTCGGGAGGAGGCTAGCAAGCTCATCATTGTATGCAGTGCGTAGGACCTCAACTCCTCTCAGCTCTTTGTTCACAATAACATTGCCTCTTCAGTGAATCCTGCATGCAACCCCCTTCTACTCTGTCGAGAGCAACAAGTGGGTTACAGGGGCGACCGACCCATGCGAGTTCGCGATAACAGAGACGATGGTATCTGTAATGCGATGGCGAGTGCGCCAAACGCTCCATTGGTGGTGTTCGTGGTGCGAAAGCAGCTTTATCCTATCCATTATCGCACATGGATATGGGTTCCCTTGGAAGAACGAGCCCCCAATACTTTTCGAACTAAACAACCATGCCGGCGTAAAGGCGCATAACGACATCACCCGCACAGCAGTCCAGGACTTTCTCTGTACGGGTGCTATTGCAGAGGCGCCTAATCAGGCCGCAATTTCATGCGTCAGCCCACTCAACGTCGTCGTTGCCCTGTACTCGACCTTCGGAAAGTCAACGGTATCTGTGTGCCACGTTCAAAAGGGAGGGACTTCCTCGCGTCGCGAAGTTTATCAAGATGAACGACTGGATGTTCTCTATCGACCTCAAATCCAGGTATCACCACATGGACATACACCCAACTTGTTGGGTATACCTCGGCTTCCAGTTCGACGGATCATACTACTACTTCCGCTCATTGCCATTTGTGTTGGCCACAGCCCCTTTTGTCTTCACCCAACTCGTCAAGCAGCTCGCGTGACGATGGCTTCCGCTCGGCTTGCGAGTAATCCTATATCTCGATGATATCCTAGTGTTATCTGATTCCCTCCAACAAGCCCGATCGGCATGCGCCATGATCATTTAGGGCCTGAGGGATTCTGGATTGGTGATTAACCAAAAGAAGTCTCATCTGCTCCCCACCCAAGCGATTCATTTCCTCGGCCTCGAGTTGGACACTCAAAACGGCACATTTTCGGTGGGAGGGGAACGTCGAGCCCAACAAAAAAACACAATCGCAATGCTTATTATCGATGGGAGCAAAGGCTGACATGTGCACATCCGCCACGTCGATCGGGTCACCGGCATGCCCGCGTCAATGAGCCTCGCCCTGGGTGCAACCGCACGAGCTTTCAACCACGAGCTACTCCAACTCATTAACAACGCACCCTCCTAGAACTCCCGGATTTTGCTATCGCCAGAGGCTATTGACGAACGGCGATTCTAGATGGTTTGACAAGTTCAACAGTGCCCCGTTCCATCAACCGCACCACTACGATGCGGTCATACAAGTGGATGTCAGCGCGCACAGCTGGGGTGCCACCCTCCTCACATTCCATGGCGCAAGCACCGAAGCAAGCGCCAGCATGCCCACACACCCACCGTCAACATCCAGCACGGGTTCTTTGGTCGTTACGCACCTCATGCAACAGATTCAAGGGAGCCATACTTTGGTTCGTGTCGACAACCAAGGCGTGATGTTCATCTTACGCAAATGCAGCTCAAGCAACACCGAGCTTACTCACGCTTGCAAAAACAAATTCACAAATTGCACAGAATACTCAGTTTGATTGGCGATTGAATGGATCCCCCACGATCTGAACACAACGCAGATGAGCTATCCAAGATGCAAGACCATGAAAACTATAGTTTGAAGCAACCCTGGTGCATAGAACATCACTAAAGGCCCCACTCCATCGAACTATTCGCAAACGCTCGCATTTGTTGTTGCCGCACCCCAGGGCAAAAGTGGTCAATGCATTTTCAGTGGATTGGCATGGAAAACACGGTCATGCGTTCCCACCTCCCCACCTCATTCTAGCAACCCTTCGCC